TGATCTACAAATGAATGCAAGAGGCTGATATTTCTAGGCCTAAGTCTTCAATTTTAAAATTTCTGGACAGAAATCGAGAATTAGATCAATTTCTATATACTAATGCAAGGTGTCAATTTCAGGCCAAAGCAGAATTTTGGGTCGAAAATGACGAAAGGGACAAAAATTTTCATAAACTATTGGACTATAAATAAATCAGGTTTGTACCTACAGGGAGAGGGGGTAGGGTAGTTCCACACCAACTTTCCCCTCCGGATATAGTAGTTGTCCCCCCTCCCCACAAACTACAAACAAACTTAAAGTTAGAAACTGGAAGTCTTCATTTCATATGATTACTAATAACAGACTTACCAGTGTTAGATTACTAATAACAGACTTATCTATGTTAGATTACTAATAACAGACTTATCTATGTTAGATTACTAATAACAGACTTACCTGTGTTAGATTACTAATAACAGACTTACCTGTGTTAGATTACTAATAACAGACATACCATTGTTAGATTACTAATAACAGATTTACCAGTGTTAGATTACTAATAACAGATTTACCAGTGTTAGATTACTAATAACAGACTTACTTGTGTTAGATTACTAATAACAGACTTACCTGTGTTAGATTACTTGTATAAGAATTTCAAAGATATTTTTTAACCTGTATAAGAAATTCAACTTTTTCTCTCTAAGATACAAAAGAAAAAAGACGTGTAGTTTTGACCACATACAAAGTGAGTGATTTGATGGGAAAAACCTACTTTCACTTTTGAATGTCACTGTAACCTGAATAATCAACATTAGTATAGCAACTTGACTGTATACCAAACAGTATAGTGTTATTCTCTATACACTCAATGTTGAACTAATACACATCTTATTGATGAAGGAGATAGACTTCAATTCTATAAATGCAAAGGGGCAAGTATGTTTGTAATGATTATTAGGTGGGGCAAAGAAGAATTTGCAAAGGAAGGGAGGGGGGGGGGGGGTGTTTAATATAATTTACTTATTATTTTCATTTGAGTTTAAATAATGGCTTCAAAATAGTGATATTGGTAGAAGTATAAACATGGACACATTTGCGTTTGATGTTTGTCTTTATTACCTAAATTAAGGACATTTCTGATTGAAATTTCTAGAAGGATAATATATTTATATTATATTAAGATTTTTCAATAGTTGGAAATAGAATACACATTAACAAAACTGATTACAAATTGACAGTACTGAATACAAATTGACAGTACTGATTACAAATTGACAGTACTGAATACAAATTGACAGTACTGATTACAAATTGACATAACTGATTACAAATTGACAGTACTGATTACAAATTGACATCACTAATTACAAATTGACAGTACTGAATACAAATTGACAGTACTGATTACAAATTGACATCACTGATTACAAATTGACAGTACTGATTACAAATTGACATCACTGATTACAAATTGACAGTACTGAATACAAATTGACAGTACTGATTACAAATTGACATCACTGATTACAAATTGACAGTACTGAATACAAATTGACAGTACTGATTACAAATTGACATCACTGATTACAAATTGACAGTACTGATTACAAACTGACATCACTGATTACAAAGTGACATAACTGATTACAAATTGACAGTACTGAATACAAATTGACACCACTGATTACAAATTGACATCACTGAATACAAACTTGACATCACTGAATACGAACTTGACATCACTGAATACAAATTGACATCACTGAATACAAATTGACATCACTTAATACAAACTCGACATCACTGAAACAAACTTGACATCCCGGTATGAATTTACCAACATTTCTTTGGAGTCAATCCAAATTTGGTGAAATTATAGTTGATATGTTGATCTTTTATTGTTGATAAGTACCTGGATTTTAAAAATCACTAGGTATTATTGCCACTAGTATGTTCCTCCCAGAATGATCTATGACTTATTGGTGTGTCATAAATTTTTTGAATCTGTTTTAATGTCAGAGGACCGTTAAATAGTGCATTTTCCATATTTTGCATTATGCATGCAGACAAAAACTCCATAGTAACTTTCCTGTCGTCAATTGTAAACTCTGAAAATTTCAGATATTCACGAAGGTATGTCTCGATGGTAATTCCTTCACAAAGTTAGATATTATGTT